TTCCTGCTTTCCCTTTCGCCTCCCTGCATTGTGCCTACATATGCAAATTAACCGCCATTTTGTTGTCAGTTAACTGCCATCTGAGTTGGCAGTTAATTTGCATATAGCCCTGATTAGCCAATGAAAAGGGTATTGTCGTATGCCAATTACCATTTTTCTCTTTTATTATATAGGATTACTGTCAATCTCTCCCTTTATCTCCATCAAGCCTTGCTTTCCATATTTAGGTGCTCCTATGTTGGGTGCATAATGTTTACAAGGGTTATGTCCTGTCTTTGAATTGATCCATTTGTCATCATATTGTATACTTCCTTGGCTCCTACTATATCCTGGGTTTTAAAGTCTATTTTGTCAGATATAAGTATTGCTACCCCAGCTTTTTTTTTCTTTCCATTTGCATGAGATATCTTTTTTCATTCTTTTAATTGTTGTGTATCTTTTCTCTGAGGTGGGTCTCTTAAAGACAGCATAATCATGTATCTTGTTTTCTTATCCATTCAGCTACCTTATGTCTTTTTGATTTGGAGTATTTAAGCCATTTACATTTAAAGTGATTATTTATAGGTATGTATTTATGGCCATGTTATTTTTTAAACTGTGTTCCTTTTTTTTCTTTGTCTTCTTCTTTTTTTTTATTCTCACCTGAGGATAATTTTCCATTTATTCTTAGAGAGAGTGGAAGAGAAAGGGAAAGACAGAGAAATATCAGTGTGAGAGAAACACATTAATTGGTTGCTTCCTGCATGTGCCCTGACAGGGAGGAGCCTGCAACCGAGGGACATGCCCTTGACCAGGATTGATCCTGGGACCGTTCAGTCCACAGGCCGATGCTCTATCCACTGAGCAAAACTGGCTATGGCTTCTTCCACTTCTTAAAGCAAGCCCTGAAACATTTCCTGTAATGCCAATTTAGTGGTAACAAACTCCTTTATTTTTTTCCTGTGTGGGAAGCTCTTTATTTCTCCTTTGATTTTAAATGATATCCTTGCTGGGTAATGTGGCATTGATTGAAGGTCCTTGTTTTTTCATCATTGAATATTTCATGCCTGTCCCTTTTGACCTTAAATGTTATGTTGAGAAATCAGCTGACAGTCTTATGGGAACTGATTGCCTTTCTGTTGCGGCTTTTATGATATTCTCTTTGTCTTTAATTTTTGACATTTTAATTATAATGTATCTTGGTGTGGGCTTATTTGGGAGGTGTTGGGGTGGAAGGATTGAGAAAAAGAAAGAAACTCATGGACATGGACAACATTGTGGTGATTAGAGGGTGGAGGCATAGAAGAGATAAATGGTGATGGGAAAAAATAAATTAAATTTAAAAATAATAAAAAATAAAGAGAAAAATAATATATGCATACATAAAGAAAGTACATTTTAAATTGTATATGTTTCATTTTTGATCATTAGGTAAGTATAGGCAGTATTAAAATAATATACCCCAATTTTAAGTATTTAATGTGTAGGGGAAATTCCTTCTGGTTTCATACTAGATTGATTAAAATATGTTATTCAAAATAACAGCAATATGTTATTAAGATAATAAAATGTATTATTAAAAATTAGCAAAAAAAAAAATTAGCAATATAGCCTTCTCCCTTGACTCTCTCCCCTCACTTCCAGAAGTAAACATAGATAAAGAGGTAGAAAATAGGTATTTTAAAAAGACTTTTATAAGTACTGGAGTATACTTGATTTTCTTACGTCCTGAGAATACTCTTTAAGTAGTTAAATAATATGTTATTGGGTTTGTTTGCATGTATATGGAATTAAAATAGAAACGTCAAGCACTATTATTAAATGTATTTTTCTAATTTTTTTAAAAATAGCTAATACACAGTTCCTGCCGAATGCTTCACTTTTTCACTAGAAGTAAACGATTTTTAGCAGCCAGTTTGTTCACTTTCACAACCCAGCATGTTTCTTTGAGATTAGCCTGGATTTTACAGAACCTGGTTGAGGTAAGAAAAGAGTTTGTGTGTTTGTGTGTGTGCGCACGTGTGTGTACATGCACACACTTATGCATTTATGGGATTTTGGGGTAGATTCAAGGAATAAGGATAGTAATTTGATTATTTGAAGGAAAATTAAGTATCCATAACATATTGTTATAGAAGACAAGGAATCTTTCCTGAGTTTATTTTTTAAGCCTTTTTATTGTGAGTCATAGCACATATAGAAAAGTGAGCAAAACATAAACGTACCATTTGGTGATATACTTACTGCAGAGCAAATATCTGTAATGCTACTTGAATGAAGAACTAGAACACTAATACTATGTATTACATTTTCCTTACACTTTTACAATTTATATATCTTTTTCTCAACACTACACTTTAGTTTTGCCTGAAAAATTTTAAACTTTGTATAAATGGAATCATAGTGTTTATTTTTTGTATTTTACTCGTTTTGCTATACATTATATGTGTGAAATGTATGTCTGTTATATGTAAATTAATATCCTTATATTTCTCTTGTTACTTAGTGTTCAATATATGATTTTACCATAATTTATTCATCTACTATGTTTGTGTACATTTGAGTTATTTCTAGTTTGGGGCTATAATGAGTAATGCTACCTCTTGATGTATATGTAAATGTATTTCTGCTGTACCTACATACAGGAATGGAATTTTTAGGGCATACGCGCACACACACACACACACACACACACACACACACTAGTAGCCTGGTCACGAAATTCATGCACATTAAAAGGCAATTACTTAGAGGAAATATTTTAATATTGCTATTTGCCCTTAAAGTGTCAGAGATGAAAGAAAATTAGTAAATTGTATATGAAAATCTCCCTCCTGTCAGGGTCTGGGGCTTACTGCAGGACCCAAAGTCAAGTCCTCGCCCACCTGTATGAGCCTCAAAATCACACGAAACCCAGATCTGGCTGGCCCCAACCCCTTCAAGCCCTGCAGGGCGGGGGCGGGGGGCCGTTGCGTGCAGCCTCAGGTCCCCTGGCCTCAGGTCCCCCGTCCCGGTGCAAGGGCCAGAGGGCATGACGACCATTTGCATATTAGCTCTTTATTATATAGGATATATATCTTCATTTTTAGTGGATAATGTCAAACACTTTTCTAAAGTTTTTGATAATTTGCACACCCATCATCAGTGATTGAAAAGATTTATTTTATTTACCTTCATAATTTATATTTCAGTCTTTCCTGGTATCTGGTATCTCATTGTGACTTTAGACTGGATTATAAAAAACAAGATCTAATTGGTTGTTGTCTGTAGGACACACACTTTTTTAGATTCAGAAATACAAATTGGTTAAAAATAAATGGGATCCCAAGATGGCTGCAGAGTAGGTGAATACATTCACCTCCTCCCAGCACCAAATCAGATTCACAACTAAATTATTTTTTAAATTTTTTTCCATAGACAGAAAAGACTAATTTTTACTTGTGTGATTTTGAAGAACTCAAATATGGTGTTGCCAATCAAAACACAAATTGAGAGATTGTATAACATGGCATTTAAAAAGGTATTTTCAGATTCCCTGTACTAAATTTTACTCTGTATGTTCAGCAGTTGCTGCATAATAATTGCTTCCATTACAACTAAATTATAGATTAGTCAACCTGAAAAAAAAAACTGAAGGCTAGTTTGATGGAAGTATTATAACCAAAGATCTACTGAAGAAACCAGATTGAGACTGGTAATAAGGGCAGAGATGATGAAAGAGCTGGCCTCATACCCACCTGTGGCAATTAAGAACCTGGAGGGATATCTCAGCTGCAAAGGTCCCCCTGAGTAGTGAGAGGTTCTAATCCAGAGCACTAGGGCCAGGAAAAGGCACCTGATTAACATCTGGTGATAAAAATCAGTGGGGATTCTGCCTGCCTGAGAAAGATGGGAGTTTTCTAGAAACCCAGGCATTCTCTTCAAGGGCCAGCACACAGGGTCTTTTTCTCACCCAGAAATCCAGTAGAGAAAAGGTGACTCAGGCCATACAGGAGTCATAAAGATATCTGATGTCATGGTTTTGAGAAATGATCTGTGCTGAGTCCCTATCCCATACCGCCCTCAGACACCATCTTTTCAAGGTAGAGCACTCCTATCCTTATAGCACCAGCCTGGGGAGTGCACTATCTCAGTCTTCCAACTGCTGGTAGCTCCACTCTGCCAAGCTTAAGTCCTGCAGAAACATCTGCTGGCTGCACCCAGCTAGGACCTTCAGTGCACTCTTTTACTTGAGAAGCTCTTGGCAGAGACTCAGACAAACACTGATCTTTGTAACTCTGGAGTAGGAACCATCCAAACCCTCCATTGTGCTGCCAGTGCCCTTCCTGTCCACTTGTCCTGTCTGATTCCCAGTGACCCTGCCCTATTGAGCTTGAGTCTTGCAGAGGGATCAGTTGGCGATACTAGCCTGAACCAGCGGTGTACTCTTTTTGAGGGAGCTAGGGTCAGAGACTCAGGTGGAGTATGGTATGGGTTCTGGAGTAGGGGCCACTTACCCTCACCCCCCACACTGAATGCCTGACCGTGCTGTCTCCAAGCAAGAGGACCACTAGCCCTGTCCTCCTGACTTTAATCACCCCACTCTATAGAGCTCACACTTTGTGGAAGAGACTGTGGGACACTGACCTTTGTACACAGCGTGACCCCTCCCATACACACCCAGGCCCAGTAGAAGCAGCCACTGACTGAATTGTTTGGTAGCTCCAGACAGGTAACCCAAAGCCAGTTGCAGGCAGCATTTAACATCAACCTGCACCAGAACCCCTCCCAAGTGGACCCAGACCAACACAACCAGTGGTGGGCTTCAGACCACACGAAACACAACCCAACTAGCCACACAAATGACACACCCAAAGGTAGGCCCACCCCAGACCCTACTGGGGCCAACTGTACCTTGAACACATAGAAGCTCATACAGTGTGGTTAGGGTCAATCCTAATAGTCAGACAGCCTGTGACTTAACACCATTAATGAACGACTAACAGCATTCAAGACTCAATCACAACAGGAAGGCTCATATAAGCCACACAAGAGACATTCCTGGAGCTGCTAGTTCAGGTGATCCGGAAGATAGTACACTGAGCCCACAAAGACACTTACAACAAAAACCACCATAACAAGTTTCGGAATCATAGCAGATCTACTGAATATATAGAGACAAACACAAAATGGCAGACAAAATGGGGAGACAAAGAAATGCCTCAAATGAAAGAAACAAGGGAATCACCAGAAAAAGAATTTAATGGAAGCAACCAAGATATCAGATGTAGAATTCAGAACAATGGTTATTAAAATACTCAATGCATTTAGGGGAAGAATAGATTATCTCAGTGAGAACTTAAAGAGATAGTAAGCACTAAAGAAGACATAGACCCCATAAAAAGAACCAGTCAGAAATGAAGAACACAATAGCTGAAATAAAGAATACACCAGAAGGAATCATCAGCAGGTTGGATGAAGCAGAGAATCTAATCAGCGATTTAGAGGACAAGATAACAAAACACCCAATCAGAGCAACAAAAAGAAAGAAGAATTTTAAAATATAAGGAAAGTCGAAGGGACCTTTGGGACAATAAAATCATGCCAACGTGTTCATCATTAGGGTAGCAGAAGGAGAAGAGAATGAGCAAGGGATCAAGAACCTATTTGAAGAAACAATGGCTGAAAACTTCCCTAATCTGGTGAAGGAAAAAGACACACCTGTCCAGGAAGCACAGAGAGGCCCAATCAAAATGAACCCAAGATAAATCATAATTAAAATGGCAAGAGTTAAAGAGAATCTTAAGAGCAGCATAGAAAGACAGTTCCCTACAAAGGAACTCCCATAAGGCTGTCAGCTGATTGCTCAACAAAAACATTTTGGGCAAGAAATGATTAGCATGAAATATTCAAAGTGATGACCAGCAAGGACCTACAACCAAGACTACTATAACCAGCAAGGATATCATTTAAAATTGAAGGTTAAATAAAAAGCTTCCCAGATCATCCTCCCCCCCGCCCCCCCCCCCCAAAAAAAAGCTAAAGGAGCTTATTACTACTAAAACCAGTTTTACAAGAAATGTTAAAGGATCTTTAAGAAGAAAGAAAGAAAAAAGGAACATGGTTATAAAGAATAAAATGGCAATAAATATGTACTTATCAGTAGTTACTTTAAATGTAAATAGATTAATTTCTCCCATTGAAAGACATATGGTAGCAAAATGGTAAAGAAAACAAGACCCATATATATGCTGACTACAGGACACCCAATCTCAAATGAAAGACACACACAGATTGCAAGTAAAGGAATACAAAGAGATATTTTATACCAATGGAAATAGAAAAGCTGGGGTAGCAATACTTATAGCAGACAAAAACAGACTTCAAAAAAAGACTATACTAAGAGACAAAGAAAGACACTACATAATGATAAAGGGATCAATCCATCAAGAAGATATAACCCTTATAAACATTTATGCACTCAACATAGGAGTACCTAAATAGGTAAAACAAAACTTGATGGACAAAAAGGGAGAGATCGACAGTAATACACTTATATAAGGATTTTAACACCCCATTGATATCAATGGATAGATCTTCCAGACAAATCAAAAAGGAAATAGCAGACTTAAATGACACAACAGCTTGGCTGGTGTGGCTCAGTGGTTGAGCATCAACCTGTGAACCAGGAGGTCACAGTTCAATTGCCGGTCATGGCACATGCCCAGGTTGCAGGCTTGATCCCAGTATGGGACGTGCAGGGGGTAGCCAATCAATGATTCTCTTATTGATGTTTCTATCTCTCCCTCTCCCTTCCTCTCTCTAAAGTCAATAAAAAAAATGGCACACTAGACTAGGTGGCTTTAATTGATATCTTTAGAACATTTCACCTCAAGGCAGCAGAATCTACGTTCTTTAATAGTGTACATGAAACATCTTCTGTGATAATCCACATGTTAAGACTCCAAACAAGTCTCAATAAATTCAAGATTGAAATCATATT